AATGTTATCCCTTAGCCACTTATTTTTGATTCTACACAATTTATCTAAAACATCGCAATATGGATATCAAATGAAAGGTGTTGTTGGGAACTTTGGTCCGAAAATATTTTCCATCAGGGTTGCCACGCTTCTATGTAATCAAAATTTTTATTTGGTTAATTTCAATCAGCATTTTTTTATGTATACAAAGTACATATACGCACAAGATATGTACCATTCCTTCCAGCATATTTCGAAATAGGGTTGCCACCTAAATTTTGGAGTAAGGAATTTACTCCATGTCGAAATCCAATTTTTTTCCAAAATATTTTTTTAAAGCTATCCAAATCTTGAAAACTTTAAAAAGTATATGCCAGGGGTGGGCAAGGCTAAGGCCGAAAAGAGCAACACGTAAATTCCCAATGCTACAAAGAGCCACAACACAAAACAACAAAAACAAATATTTTATTTTTAAATAAAATTATTATTAGAAATGAAAAACATAAATTTTATTATTATTCTAATGTACGTAAGATAGATATTAAAAAAATTAAAAAGATCCCTTTGGCCAAATTTTCAAAATCTGGTTTTACGTTAGTAAAAGCCGTTCATAACAGTTCTGTTAAATGTTGGTTAGTCAATTGTGAAGGGTATTTTGACTTTACGAATTTCATTGTAGAGTACAAAAACTCACAGTTGGAAAATACACGGCACGCAGCTGTCTTCAAGCAATGGCAAAGCTTTATGTTGCATTTCCAGAGCCTTATCGTTTTTTAATTCCAAAAACTCCCAACACTTCTTCGCTTTTCTTAAAAAGGAGTATTTCGGATATTGTAAAATCATCCTCAATTATACTGTGGAACAAATTCAGGTTAGCAAAAGTTAGGTCGATTCTGAGAGTGAGGGGTGAAAATAGAGGCTAAATTAGAAGACCCGTATCGCGGCGTTTGTTTATGTTAGTTCGAATTTTTTTTAATCGACCTTCGAACTTTGCAGTCAAATGCCGATTTTCAGCATATTGTTTATATGGTTTTTTGGCTATAACTCGTCTACTAATTGATATTTTTTCAATCTGTTAAAGCCAAATTATTGCTAGAGACCTGTGCAACAATTAAAATTAAAAAAAGAATTGATTTAGAAAATTTTTTTAGTGCTTATCAACTCGCTCAAAAGTTGCCAACTGAATCTGATGAGCAAGGCGAACGTTATCACCAAACTGCGCTTCCACTTGAAATAAGGTAACTATAGAGTGTGCATATTCTGAATTCCTAGATTTTTCTAATATCTTTGTTAGAGTGCACAATTTAAACATGTTAACGATTGAAAACTATTTTCGTTTCAGGTACAGAGGAAAGAAATTTCCAGATGCAATACTCGCTGAAATTTGTTGGTGGTATAAAAACACCTTTGAAGAAGAGGCAGACGAGGAAAAAGAGGAAGAAGGGGAAGACAAAGATGAAATTCCAGAATATCTGTTGGACGAAATTATCGACCTTTCTGATGATGATGACGACGACCAAGATATTAGAGAGAGCAGTGATGTTGATCCACAGCCGCCTGCTAAACGGCAACTGGCCAAATCATTAATTTAATTTATTAAATTTTTTTACTTAAAACTTTTCATAACTAACATTTCAAAATTATATTTTTTTCCATATTTTTATAATTTCTTTTTCAATGTTTCTTCAAACCAACACTGAAAAAATTGGTAAATAAGAAATGAGAAGTAAATTAATATTAAGCTGGAAAACGCAAGTTTTGTATTATGATTGTTTTCTTTTCAAATGAAATTTATTGAAGAAACTGAGAAGCATATTATAGATCAAACAGAAAGCAAAAAAAGACTTAGTTTTGTGGAAAATATGTTCAAAAAGCATGAAAAAAAATCCAACATTTTGCTTCATAAGCACTACAAAAATTTTCTAAATCAATTTTTTTTTTAATTTTAATTGTTGCACAGGTCTCTAGCAATAATTAGGCTTTAACAGATTGAAAAAATATCAATTAGTCGACGAGTTATAGCCAAAAACCATATAAACAATATGCTGAAAATCGGCATTTGACTGCAAAGTTCGAAGGTCGATTATAAAAAATTTCGAACTAACATAAACAAACGCCGCGATACGTGTCTTCTAATTTAGCCTCTATTTTCACCCCTCACTCTCAGAATCGACCTAACTTTTGCTAACCTGAATTTGTTCCACAGTGTTATGTTACATAAAAAAGGGTTTATGAAGTATGCAAACGTACTTGAAATAATTCCAATCGGCAAATGTTTTTTTCAAAATCTGCTTTTAAAATGAATTAAAATTAAAAAGAATAAAATAAAAAAACAACACAATGGAAAAGAATGTCCACACAACTTGCATATTATCACACTAAAATTGAATAGGCTATAAAACTGCATGTTCAAACAAATCTAACACTTCTGAGAAAAAAGTTTGAAATTTCGATTAATTTTTTTTTAAGTTTTCTATTTCTGTTTTTGAAATGGGGGTGCTATTTATATGACCGATACTCTATGTATGCCCACTTTTATTATTTATGTTTAACATCTTTTGTTTTTCTTGTATTTCTTTGTTGACCTTAATAAACAGTGTCCCCCTGATGATGCTGAAAATTTCAAAGAAACGGTGGGCAAAGAAGGTGAAATAAGCGTTTTATTTACACCATCTAATAAGAGATCAGACTAGCCTACAACCCAGCAAACACTAGAGAAACGGCTTGATTTTACATTCTAACGTAGTTCTCAAATCGTTCTTTAACCTAAAAGTTTCTTCTACGAACTGATCGAGACAAAATAACACAAACGGCAATAACGCAAAATTTGCTTTATTTCACTTTCAAATGGGAAATAATACCAAAATCTGAGTTTTGCTTTCCCCCCCTTCAAAGGTATAAGTTATTCCAGACGAATGCTAATAATCTCCTTTTAAAAGTATTTATTGAAATATATCTTAGCTAAATTTCCGAGTGCAAGAGATCTTCAAGCTTATAATCTAATTTGACTGCAGGTTCATTCCGAAGTGAAGGGCATCATTGAAACTCGGAAAATAAATGACAACCCACACATTCCATAGGCATAATACTTTCGATTGGTATTTAATTTCGTCCTTAAACAAATTAGTGCAAATTAAAAAAAATAATAATTTTTGAATATTTAATTAAGAATATCCTGGCCAGGATTTTTTCAGCCAACCCACTCGCGAAATATTTCCTGACACGTTAAATTTCATTCAAAATAGATTTCATCCATTAAACAGATGGGTGAAGGTCGTGTCTTATTCGGATCTTAGACTATAAGTAATTTCAAAATATCAGCATTGAAGTCAGATATCAGTTTAATACATAGACGGAAAATAATCATTATTTTTTAAATTCGAACCAAAAAACTCAACAAGTTGTAATCGTCATAAAACAGTTTTAACTATACTGACGTATTTGTGTTCGTACGTGCTACTGTAATTTACAACGATTTTTATTTTTCGAGTTTAAAGATAATAATTAATATTTGAGTTTTATTTTCTCGCTCAAGGGAAATTGTTATATAGCCCAGTTAAATAAATTTGGTACGAAAAACAAAAAAAAAATATCGTAACAGCGATTTTTTGATGCAGTTTACTTCCATTTGACACGTAGATTAAGGATTCGCAGTCTTGCCCCAAAATTTCATTTGGCAACATTCCGCCACCTTGGATTTTAGTTTTTTGGTTTTTTTGCGATTTGCAAGCTTATTTCGCATTTTTCGTAAAAATTGAATACAAATTTGTCGAGAATTCAATTTCTCACATTTGTTCAAAAAAGGTTTAAAAAAACTTTTTTATTGTAAATAATTAGCAAAAACTGCGAAAAAATTTTACATTATCACGGTTTTCGCCATTTTTCGACAATTTCTGGAAAATGGCGAAAACCGAGACAATGTAATTTTTTTTCGCAATTTTTGCTAAGTAGTTACATAAAAAATGTTTTTTCTTTAAACCTTCTATACAACAAATGTGGGAAATTAAATTATCTACAAATTTGTGTTAAAGCATTATTTACAAAAAATGCAAAAAAAAAATCTTGCAAACCGTAGAAACACCAAAAAAAACTTAAATCCAAGATGGCTGAATGTTGCCAAACGAAATTTAAGGGCAAGACTGGATCCATGATCTACGTGTCAAAAAGAAGTAAGTAAACTGCATAAAAAAGCGCTGTTACAATTTTTTTTTGTGAAAAAGTCTAATTTTACTGGGCTATATTACTTGATTTTTGTTTTTTGGATCAAAAATAAGCATTATTTTATGACTTTCCGATCAAAAATAATCATTATTTTATGATTTTTTTTCGCTCAAAGGTAGTTACTATTGAGTTAAATTTTTTCACTTAAGTAATAATGATCATAAACGCAAAGCTATACCAGCGTGATTTCCGACGTATCCTTTTCAGAGGTAGCGACGTCCTAATAAAAGAAATATGTCTCAAAATTTTAGGTAAAAATGTCAGTTGTTTGCGTCTGTATCGCCTTGTAAATTTTATAAACATTTTTGTAAGTGGAAAAATAAAACTTGGTAATAATTATTATCTCCGTGCAAAAAACTAAAAATCATAAAATAATCATTATTTGTGATCGAATAAATAAAAATCAGCTAATAATTATTTTCGTTGAACGAAAAAATAAAACTCAATAATTATTATTTCTAAGCGAAAAATAATAAAATAATGATTAAATGCTAATTTAAATTATTTTGCTCTTAATGATTGCCGTCCGTTTAATACGAAATTAGTTACTTAATTTACATAGAAAATTTGCATTTTCTTAACTGTCCTGGGTTGCTCTTTTCTGTGTAAATTATATAATTGAGTTTTATACTTTATTAGTTTCGTATTAAACTGATATCTGACTTCAAGTGTTAAAGATAAATCAGGAGTCACTTTGGAATGCTCCTGCACTAAATAATGGCTGTATTTAAAATTACAAAAAGTTACATATGTTTTGTTCTTGTATTTGCATTTAAAAACTTTATGCTTCCGTGGAAAAGCTATAGTAGAAACATCTACTGACGTGGAACGTTCTGCAGAGCCTCAAACAGGTACTTACTTTGTGTTAGATTTAGGATAAGACTCTTAAAATTTATTAACTATTCGGTAAGCAAACTAATCGGGTAGTAACCGCTTATTAACCGATTAATTATATCTGACTTTTCGACCACTGGAACAATTTAAATTTTGAAAACCAAAATGTCTTTAAAATTTACAAAGTACAACGAACAAACTTGTCTCCATACCGGTCAAAATCATGGAGGTCAAGAATTTCAGTTGGAAAAAGTTTTTGTCCAAAATTGCAGTGAATTTACAATTTTATCTAATTTTCGGAATTATATAAGAGGCAGTCAATGCCGCATTTAATCAGTTATTTGAGTTTTTTTTTAATTTTATTCCATCCAAAATAGCCGATAAATGATTGCCATAAGTAATTAAGGGAATAGTCCGGGAGCTAGCGACAGTTTTTAGTGACTTATTTTATCGTCAATAAAAGTATGCTAAGATTTTCAGTTTATTCACGTAAATCACGAAAACCAACCACTTACACCCAGTTAGCGGGACAACGCCTCCCAGAGTGTTAACATTGTGCAATAAAAATTTAAAAATAACCTTATTTTATCGTCGCACAGTGCCGCTTAAGTGGGCAAAAATCGTAAAATTCGTTATCTGTAATGTGAACTTGTTTGGTATTTTTGTAAAGGCAATTTATCCACTAAAAATTATTAAACAGACATTTCCCTAAAAAATTAATAATATGCCGCCAGGAAGCCACTAAAGTCGACAAATTTTATACTAAGAATTTTAATAAGAGCATAGCCATGCGTAAGCTCTTCACAGAAAAAAATTTCAAAAATATATTCTTTGGAATAAAATATTGGTTTGACATTTCTTGTTTCCATATAGATAGTAGAGAATTACAGGAATTAAAATTAAACATACGGTGTTTCTGCGGTGTTCGAAAAAAACAATTTTTTTAAACAAAATTTTCAAAAATGCTTAATTTTAATGGAATGAATAAAAAATATATGTAAAAATAGGTTATTTTTTATTATTTTAATAAATAGTACGGGCCTATAGCTTTCAAAAGAAGAAATAAAAACCTGCTCATTTTTCGCACTTTCTGAAGTAATGCGTTTTTCGCTAATGCATAAAATAATTTAATTGTTTGTCAGTGCCTTGAATTCTGCACGATTCGTTCCATCTTCAAAAATGAAGTGTCAGATTAAAAACCTTGACCTGTGGACAATAGAAGGTTTATTTTTTTTTTAAGAGTTGCCACCTGTTAAAAAATTGGATTGTTAAAAAATTAAATTAAAATTTTTTTATAAGTTAAATGAATTATTAAGACATGGGTATCAATCGAAATGTGTATTAGCTACATGTAGAGAGCTGCCACCTGTTTAAAAAATCATATTCCACTTGAATTAAAGGAATTAGGTAATTATAATAGATAGGTATCACCATAACGGAGTCAGACAATAGAGGTTTAAGAAGATTTTAGCTTAAAAATATTACGAATAGGGTTGCCACCTGTTTGTAAAGTCGAATTTAGCTAAACTAAAATAATAATTACGTCAAACCATAGGATTACGCCATCGTATTTGTTGTTTTATTACAAATACATACTTTGTCACACAGTGATTTGTTCTGATTACATTCCTTTTAAATTACTGGACTCTTAAATTAACTCAGGAATGTTTTACTCTCCACTTAATTCTTGCTAAATATGTCAAATTTTTTCATTTTTCTGATACTCATATTGATATACATATTTCAGTTACCTTATTCCCTTAATTAAAGTGAATTTGAATCTTTAAACATTTGGCAACCTTTCTACGTGTCATTTAGAGGTAAAGTATTTTCAAAACTAGTTCAATTGATACCCATATTGTAATATCTAATTCATTTAACTTATTAAATGATTTTAATAAAATTTGTAACAGGTGGCAACCCTTTTCAAAAATAAAAAACTTTATCGCACATCTATAGGCCATGCACTGTCATTTAACACCTCACTTTTAAAAATAGAACGAACTATATCGATGGCTGAGTGGAAGATCGACCTATCTCGGCAGCCAGTTCGAAAACTCTCTATCTCAAAAAACTTTTCAAGAACGCCCTATTTGAAATTTGCACATTATCAGACTAAAATTGCAGGGGCTAAGAACTGTGTACTCAAAAAAATTCTAACACTTCCGAGAAAAAAGTTTGAAATTTAGGTGAAAATTTGTTGCATTTTTTTGTAGTTTTCTACACTGGTGGTTTTCGACCTAAAACTTGTGTTTTCGTCCATGTAAAATCTGTCAAACGAAAACCAGTTTTCGCTGAGAACTACTTGAAAACTCACGTTCCAATCATTCCAATCGGTGTCTTCACTAGTTTTTTCGATTATTTATCGAAGTAGAAGTCAAATTTTATCATCTTTAATACGCCCTTTTGGTTTTATTGTTAATTAGCTGGATAAAGTAAAATAAGAATGAAAGTAAAAGAAAATGAAGGAAAAGTATTTTGGTTTTGTTTTTGTGTAGCAAAACTGTAATCAAAAGATGTAAGAAATGTCAACGAAAACACTAACAGCCGGTGTGAACAGCCTTCAGCCCACAATCCCAAAACTCGTTTTCAAAGTGTTTTCGTTGTCGGTCAGAACATGGTATAAGCAAACGTTAATGGTGATTTGGTTTCGTATGTTTGATGTTACACTCAACCCTGCAAAAGGGCATGTTTTTGCCTTCTTGCCCTTGTCTAGCTCCCTCATTGGCTAATATATTCGTTTTAAAGGTGTTCTTATACGATATGTATTTGCATCTGTAAATGTGACATTTTCATTACATATGTAATTGCGTATCTCTGTCAAATTCAGTCTTTATTTAACTATTTAAAAATACGTTTTTTGAAAACGAAATAAACTAAACTCAGATGATTCTATCTGTGTGTCAGATGAAAATAGAAACATTTCTATTTCGTATGTACTTGCATCTGCTCTGTACAGAAACAAATCTAATTTGCCTTTACACGATATGTTGGTATTTCCATATGTAAAAAGTGGTATGTACACATGCAAATACATATCGTGTAAGGACACCTTTAAGGTGTTCAGCAACCATATGGTTTTCAGGAGAATGTGGCTTTTTTGCGTTACATGAGTATGACATTTTAATAAACGAACACAAAATTTATTTTTGATTACAGTGAGAAGCGGCTTATAGAAGCGCAGGGACCTATTACAAAATTGGTGCTGGAAAATTTCAAAGCCGTTTTCTCAGCTAATGTAGGCTTGCAGACAAAACGGGGTGTGGATAAAATTGTTATGGGCGAGGAAAAAGCCCTTATTCCTGATAATATGAAAGTTTTAAACGTTCCATATTTAAATTGGGCGCCACTTGTATCAACTCACGTCGAGGGCACGTTTAGTACATTCAACGCTTTTATTCGCGAAATTAAATGAAAATGCTGCCAGAAAACTTCTAAATGCATCTAGTGGTTCAATGTTACTACAACTATGCATACGAATTCTACTGGGGAGCGATTTATTGTTGCTAGTGGTACAATAAGTACTCTTGCAATAACAATCACACGCTCATCCAGTTACACTTATGCAATATACAACGGATATAGAGAAGCGCGAATTCCACTATTGCAGTGTATCTTGTTAACAACCTATGTATTTTCAAAGTGTGCTACAATGAACAAGATGTAGTACAGAATGAGAGTTCAAGGTTCTGCCTGTTAATGTGAAACGACTTTGTAATTTTCCGATCACTTACAATAGGTTTGTCCCGCGGATGCGATGCAAGCACATTATTTTTACATGTATAATGCGTTGCTCTATAATAATAATAATAATAGATTGGCGCTTACACATATGTTAGTCTTTGGCCGAGCTTCTCCTCCGGTTTGTGGCGTGCGCCTTGATGTTGTCACACAAAGCGGAGGGACCTACAGTTTTACGCCGACTCCGAACGGCGATTGTATTTTTATGAGAAGCTGTTTTTCATGGCAGAAATACACTCGGAGGTTTGCCATTGCCTGCCGAGGGACGACCGCTGTTAAGAAAAAACCTTTTTTTCTATATTTTTTGCGATGTTGCTTTGATCAGGGTTTGAACCCAGGTGCTGCGGAGTGGAAGCGCGCACTGCTTACCACTACACCACAGCGGCCGCTCTATGTCCATGATAAATTTCAAGTGCGATGTCGTAGGTAAATTTTCTCAAAAAGTTTGATATTTTTGCGCGCCTGTAAGCGGTACATTGTCCCGGTAAATAAGTGTAAGTGATCATTTTTTAACTTCGTCCAGTGTCAATTGATAACCACACAAAAGGCCAACGACGATAAAATAAGGTTATTTTTCAATTATTTATTACATAACGCTACTGCTCCTGACACCGAAAGGTCTCACGGTGCGATGTAAGTGTCGTTGTTTGTTAATCTACAGCAGTAAATTTAAGTCCCCGATATGTTATCTTTGACGATAAAATTGGCACATTTTTACTGTCGCTAGCTCCCGGATTGGCCAAAAAACACGTTAAAGTGGATTGAATTTGAGTAACTACATTTGTAACAATACTTACAAATATTTGTTTTTAATAATTAATGTATAGTACTGAATAAATCGAAAATTTCGCATTTTAATTTAATTGAAAAGTTGTTAGAGGAAAATTTCTCATTTCATGAACGCAATCATAAATCTTCAAAACTTTTTTCACTAAACGTATCAGGTGGGACTGCTAGCGGTCTTTCCAATGCACGTTTTGACAGGTGACTAGCGTATATTTGTTTGACTGAATGAATACCACGGTGCTACAAAAAAAAATCCCGAAATACACCCGAAACAAAACTTGGTGTAGGTTGTAGGTAGGGTCGAGTACAACATGAAAATAGATTTCTTATAGTTTCTGAAAACTTCGTTTTTATTTAATTTAAAAATAACCGATATGTTCGAACTTGATGCACTTATCTATTAACAGCTTGACTATTTTTATCCGATTTTAAAAATCAAACATGTTTAGAAAAGTGGGTTTGTAGACCTTTAAAATGATGTATTCCAATA